CCCCAAAACCCCAAAACCCCAAAACCCCAAAACCCCATAAGCCAAATTTAACAAGGGTCTAAAAGAAATTACTCGCATTTTAATTAGCTGATCTATAAAAGGCTTGTGAATAATATATATATCATAATTAAAAGATCTTTAAAACCTTAGCAAAGAAACTATCATAAACTATTATGGAAAGCAGTAATTCATCACTAAAGCATGTGTTCGATTCATACAACGGCACTGCAAAGACTATGGAAGGCAAGAACTTCGTTAAGTTAGCCAAAGATTGCAAAATCATAGATAAAAAACTCACAGCTACTGATGTTGACTTGATTTTTGCAAAGATCAAGGACAAGTCCGAGAGGAAAATTACCTACGCACAATTCGAGAAAGGTCTTGAATTCTTCGCAGAAAAGAAGGGATGCACTCCAGCTGATATTGTCGAGAAGATCCTCGCTACAGGAGGTCCTCAGTTCAGCGGAACCTAAGCTGATCATGTCAAGTTCCACGATGATAAGAGTCTCTACACAGGTGTTTATGCTCAAGGTGGACCCACTAATGTTGATCAAATTAACCCAACTGTGACTTTCGGAAGCGCTCCTCACAATGATGAAGAGGAAGAGAAGGTCCCAACAAAGAGGATGGCTTAGATGTCAGTTAACAACAACCCAGCAGGCAGTTTGAAGGAAGTATTCGAGGGATTCACTGGAGGAGCAGCTGAGATGGACGGAAAAACTTTCGCAAAGATGTCTAAAGATACCAAGATTCTCGATAAAGCACTCACTGCAACAGACATTGATCTTATTTTCGCTAAAGTCAAGGACAAGGCTGCAAGGAAGATTAACTATGCACAGTTCTAGAAAGGTATTGAGGAATGTGCTACAAAAAAGAAAATTACCTTTGAGTAATTGGAAGAGAAAATCCTGGCTGTAGGAGGTCCAGTATTCACAGGTACCAAAACAGACAAGGTCAAGTTCCATGATGACAAGAGTCTATATACAGGAGTCTATGCCTAAGGAGGCCCTTCAACTATTGATGCTGGTAATGGCATGATTTCAGATATCTCATAGCTTTGTGATAGAAGTGACGCCAATGTAAGAGGAGTCAAGAAGCACTGAGAGCAAAGATGGTAATTGAAATCATTTTAAGATTTGTAAAATAAAGCAAGAGCCTATTTTAACTATCATAACTTAATTATTTGTAATTATTCATGATGCAAGCCATACTCAATCTAATGGGGTTTTGGGGTTTTGGGGTTTTGGGG